GGAGGAGGAGGAGCTCCTGCCGTGGCCACCCGCCCGAGGAGCTTGCCGTCCGTGGACTCCGGGCGGCCGGCCACGCCGACCGGGCGGCGGCAGCCCGAGCCGTGCCGGGCCCCGGGGGCGCCCGGGCCCGGGCCGCAGAGGCCCAGCGGGGGGCCCAACTCCTCCTCCTCCTCCTCCTCCTCCTCCTCCTCCTCCTCCTCCTCCTCCTCCACCGCCTTCTCCTCCGCCTTCTCCTCCGCCTTCTCCTCCTCCTCCTCCTCCTCCTCCTCTTCCTCCTCCACCTCCTCCGCATGGGTCTCGGGGGCGGCGACAGCGGCGGCGGCGGCGGGCAGGTGCGGCGGGGAGGTGCGGCGGGGGAGGCGCTGCGGGGTCTTGGCGGAGAGCAGGAGCGGCGGCGGGAGAGGAGTGGGAAGGGGTCGGCGGGCGGAGCGGGCGTGGCGGGGGAGGTGCGGCGCGGGAGGCGCGGCGGGAGGTGCTCGGCGGACTGGGCGGCGCCGCCTGGGGCATTTCAGGGGCAACGATTCGGAGGTTGATAGACCTCCTTCCCTGACACGTCGATTAGCAAATTGGCCGTTTTCGGTTCCCGAGAGGGCGTCGCGGCCGTTATTTTTGCGGGTCCAGGTCCGTTGGTTTCGGTCCCAGGCCGTTTTCACTAAAGGGAGTTTGCTGAAGGGAGGTTTGTCCACCGCCGAGGCTCCCCCGCGGGAGGCTCAGAGGAGGACCAATTCCCAGACAGGGTCGCGTCGTCAAGAGAAATCAGGGCGAGGGAGGTTCTCGGAGATCTTCGGCCCCGGAGGGGGCCCTCGCCGGGCCTCGGGACCGTCCAAGAACGACTCAGGGCGAACAAACCTGTCCCGGGGAAAGGGTCAGGACTTCCAGGGACGCCGTCCTGAAAAAATCAGGACGTCGCATGCATAGACGCTTCGCGTATCCCCACCAGCCCATCTAGAAACGAGAGCCAGGCGAGTTGAGGTGATCAGGGAAGGGCGGGAGCAAAGAGGGGGACGGCCGAGCCGTGCGAAGGAGGGAGGAGGCGAAGAACTGGGCTGGATGGATGGATGAGGGAGTGGGGAGAAGGATGATGAATCTGATGAGGAGGAGGAGGGGGAGGAGGAGGAGGAGGAGGAGGAGGATGAGGACGAGGAGGAGGAGGAGGAGGAGGAGGAGGAGGAGGAGGAGGGCAAGTAATTACGGGTGGCGGTATTGGATAAGGAACGTTTTCCTGGGGCCCACACCCTGGCGCATTCCTTATTGTTTCAAGACGAGGTGGGTGGCCCACGTTTGGCCGCCCATCGGCCGCGAGATCCTGGGTCCCTTATCGAAGTTGTCCCCCGCGGAAAGCTCAGTCGGGGGCGGCCAAGAGGGGGTTGAGGACTGGGGGGGCGTGGATATCATGGCGGGGGGCATGATATCTCCCCAGGTTTCATGGCGCCTCTTCTTGTTTCATTACGTCCCTGCCCCCCCTGTGCCGCGCACATGGCCGCCGGCCAAATTTGCGCCCCCCCTCTTGGATGCCCCCTCTTGGCCGACCACGAGAGAAACGTGTCCCCCGCGGGAAGCTCAGAGGAGGACACATTACCCATACGCCGAAGTCGCGAATGTGTCGCCGACGTCGCCGATGCATCGCCGATGCATCGGCGATGCATTGACGATGCGGCGCGATCCTTCGACCCCATCTACTCGGACCCCATCTAGGAGGCCTCTAGTGGATCTGGGTCGGATGACCTGTTCGTGGCTGAGGCCCGACGTTCCCTGTGGTGGCACGGCGACCGTGCCCTGCAGCGGCCAGAGTGCAGCGGGTGGGGAGGCCAAAGTTCGGGGGCGGGCGGGTCAGAGGAGGAGAAGGCACCCGTACCTCTGCCCTTCGCCCGTTTTCCCCTCTTTGGGCCTCCTTGGATGCCCTCGTCGCCACCGCTGGATTCGCTTCGAACTTCTGGTCAGAGCGCACCCTGGGAGGGGTCTGGGGAGTAGCGGTATCGTTGCCTTTTGGTTTCCCCAGAAGCAGGCCCCTGGCCAGGGAGGAGAAGCGGGTCCCCCGAGGGAAGCAGGCTCGAGGTTTCCCCAGATCCCCTCGCGTTGTGAACAAAAAAAATACGACGGGAGGTTTTTCCTACTTTTTGCCTCTGGGGGCCCTTACCAAGCCTCGGGACCCTCAAACAACGAGTCAGGATGAAAAACTGGTCTCGGGGAAGGGGTCGAGACCTCCGGGGGTCGACGTCATGAGAAAATCATGTCGTCGGGGGTCTGGGAGGGAAGCAGGCCCGAGGTCTCTGTCGCCGCTGTCGGGCTCGCCAGGGCCCTCCACGGGCCCCGGGAGTGTCCCTGAGATCGGCGGCGAGGGAGGGGGGGAAGCGAGAAGGAGACGGCCTTCTGAGGAGGCGGCGGGGCTTCTCAGAAGCCCTCTGGCCTCCTGGGAGCTTTTTTGTCTCTTCGGGGAAGGCTCAGAAACACTTTCGAGAAGGCCAGGGGAATCCCCAGCCTTTGAGAAGGCCCTCTCCTTCTCCCTTCCCCCCGGGCTCGCCGCCGATGAGATCCTGGCGTTGCAGTCTTTTCACACCAGGCGTTCTCGCTGTTTTTTGGGGGGGCCCCAGGGCCCTCCCAGATCGATCGGGCTCGAAAAATGACGCAGAGGGATGGGGTCCAGGGCTCCAGTCGTGTTTTTTCGCGATGTTGCGATTCTTTCGCACCGTCGGGCCTCAGAGAAGGAGGAGGAGGAGGAGGAGGAGGAGGAGGAGGAGGAGGAGGAGGAGGAGGAGGAGGAGGAGGAGGAGGAGGAGACTCCGGACGACGATCCCGTCCTGGGGGAAGGCCCCACGGGCCAGGACCCGTGTCGCCCGGGACCCGCCTCCCTCGCGCGAGAGAGGCGGAGCGACGAGAGCCCGCCGCCGCGCAGCGGCCGCCTGTCCTTCAACAGCCTCTCGTCCGATGGCTCGGCCGGCAGGGTCCTCAGCAGGAACAGCCTGGACACCTGGGACTGCGACGGCGGCTCGTACTCCGTCGCCGGCTTCATCCGGCCGTTGACGTCTTCGGCGGCCATCAAGAAGCAGCACCTCGACCTCGGGCGGATCGCGAGCCACATCTTCACGCTGACGGAGAACGTTAACGCTGGGCTCGACGCCGCCTCCGTGGAACAGCGGACCCATTGGAACTGCAGCCGCCGCTGTGCGTGCTGCAAGCGGTGTCCGGGTCTCTCGCGCTACGGGCCATGGTGGAATCACCTGCAGGGGGTCTGCAAGAGGCTCGGGGGCAACGGGCTGTTCACAACTTTTTTTCTGGTGTTGACGCTCTACGTGCTGTTCGCCCCAGACGTCTTGGATCTCGTCCGTCGGGAATATCTCGACTACCCGTTCCTCGTGATAAACACTGTGGTCTTCGGCCTCTTCGCGTTCGAGCTCATCGTGCTCATCGTGGGTAACAGGAGCTACGGGACGTCGGCCTTCGTTGTCCTCGACATCGTCTGCCTGGCCAGTCTGCTGACTGACACGTTGCTGGTGAAGGGATACGACCTGGGAGTCCTGCTGAGCCAGGACAACGCGCGCCTGTCGCGCGTGGCCCGGTCCTCCAGGACGGTCCGCCTGGTCCGGCTGGTCCGGCTGGCGAGAGTCGCCCGCATGCTCCCGAAGATCCTCATGTTCCTGAGGACGCAGAACCTCCAGCTCGGCCAGCAGGTCCTCCTGCGGAGGCTCTGGCGGGGCTTCTTCGTGCTGGACGCCGACAAGGACGGCCTCATCTCCGAGTTCGATCTGAAGGTGTTCTACCTCATCGCCCTGAGGGAGTGCCCAGAGATGCTGCAGCACACGCCGGCCCAGCTGTTGAGCCTCGACAAGGAGCACATCGAGAAGAGCGTCGTCACGGACCCCGACTCGCAGGAGGACGACACCGAGGGCACTCTGGACTTCCAGAAGTTCAGTCAGATCATGCTGAGCACGCGCCTCGGCAAGGACCTCATGAACTATCACGTTGAGGACCTGGAAATGGGGGAGGGCGTCTGGTCACTGACGCAAAAGCTGAGCGACAGCACCGCCATGAAGGTCTGCGCCTGCGTACTCTGCCTCCTGGTCACAGTCTCCCTGCTGGAGATCGACGCGGTGGACGCGGGTCCCCTCGTCGGGCTGGCGCAGCTCGACCACGTGGTCAGATCAGAGGCGCGGCTCGGCGCCCTGAACTTCGACTATCTGTGCAGCCAGATCAACACCTTCTGGGACAGAGCTGGTGTGCTCTTCTTGCACCTCGACGGCAAGTCCTTCGAGAGCGGCTGCTGCGACTCCTGCTACACCAACGCAACAGCTAACGCGGCGATCGATTCGATTAACGAGAAAATAAGGACCTCTCGGCTCCGGCCCACGGACATGGACTCCATCTGCCTGGTCGGCGGCACCGCCGACGTCTGCTCGGCGACGGGCATCGACGGGGTAAGTAGCCTGGCGTTGCTAGACATGTCGAGCCGGGTGCACGAGTACGCCGCGTGGTCCATCGTCACGACGGTAACCATGCTCTTCTTGCTGCTGTGCTTCGTCTTCGTCCTGAACAGGAAGATCACGAGCTTCACCAGGACGATCCTGCAGCCGCTGCGATGGCTGGTGGACGACATGCAGGCCCTGTCCTCTCTGGAGCTCCTCGCCATGGACAAGGATATGCCTGGCGGGGCGGTCGTCAGAGGGGTGGAGGAGCTCAGTCATCTGCAGTCTGCCTTCCAGTCGATGCAGAGCGCCCTCCGCGGCTGGTCCATGTTCGTGCCCCCCATGGTGGTACAGCGGCTCTTTAGCTCAGGCATCGAGGCGGGTATCGGCGTGAACAAGTGCCACGTCACTATCCTCTTCTGCGATGTCGTGAAGTTTGATGAGATGTGCATCGGCCTCGAGCCGAACGAGATCATCGATCTGCTGTCGACCGTCGGGAACTTCGTCGCCGAGGCGATCCAGCAGAAGGCCGGCACGCTGCTGGAGTTTATTGGCGACGAGACTGTGTCGGTGTTTAACGTGCCTGTCCGTGTGAAGGATCACTACCTGGCAGGGCTTGAGGCCACGAGGGAGATCCACCGGGTTATAGACAGCCATAACCCGTTCATCTCGCACGAGGGGAAGGAAGTGGAGATCAAGTGCCGCTGCGGGGTTCACACGGCCCGCTTGCTGGCTGGCAACATCGGCTCGCCGCAGCGTATCAAGTATGGGCTTCTCGGGGATGGCATCAACCTTGCCGCCCGCCTCAAGGGCCTCAACTCGCGCTACGGCACCAGAACGCTTGTCAGCGACAACACTATGCAGGCGCTCAAGGCGGTGATGCATTCAATGCACTACCGCCCGGTCGACGTGGTGGCCGTGAAGGGGAAGGTAAAGGGCACGCCTGTCTATGAGGCCTTACCGTTGTATGTAAACGAGGACAGCCAGAAGCTGCTGGCATGCGAGAAGCATCAGAAGGCTTTCGAGCTGTACCAGCAGCGGAGGTTCCACGACGCCGCCGAGCTCTTCCAGGAAGTCGAGAACACCTTCGTGGCATCCGGGTGCAGCAAGGACCTCGCCAGCCGCATTCTCCGCAAGCGATGCCTGGCGTACATGAGAGACCCGCCGCCAGAGGACTGGGACGGCGTGGATCGGCTCAAGATGAAGACGTTCGATGTGGACGACGACGAGGCGGAAGCGGCGCAGGAGGGCGACGGCGGCGGGGCGGAAGCGGCGGCCAATGCCGACGGGATCGTCGAGGCGGCCTCGCGCGACGTGAACCGCAGCATGTGGTGCTGGTCCTCCTAGCCTCAGGAGGGGAGACAACCCACAAACACAAGTAATCTTCGACTCCCAGGAAGATAGGGGGACGCCTGGGAAGGGTGGGGGGAAGACGCAAGCCAAGAAGACATGGGAAGGTATTGGGAGATCCTGGGACCTGTGTGCATTTATTTGTGTGCCCCTGGGCGCCCCTGTGGCCGCCCCCCACGCCCGCGCCGGCGCCTCGCCACGCCTCGCCGCGCTGCCCGAGTGTGATCGGGCAGGCGGCCGGGCCCCAGCAGCCCTCGCCTCCTCGTCTCCTCGCCTGCCCCGCGGCTTCCCCGGGGGCCCTTCAACCCGGCCCAGCCCGACGCGCCTTTCGGCTGATGCCTGTCTGTTCCTCCTCCTCCTTCTCCTCTTCCCTCCTCCCTCCTCCCTCCTCCTCCTCCCTCACTCCACCCTCCTCCCTCCTCCCTCCTCCTCCCTCCTCCTCCCTCCTCCTCCCTTCTCCTCCTCGTCCTCGTCCTCCTCCTCCCTCCTCCCTCCTCCCTCCTCCCTCCTCCCTCTCCTCCTCCTCCTCCTCCTCCCTCCTCCTCGCTCTCCTCCTCCTGCTCGTCCTCCTCATGCTGCTCCTCCCTCCTCCTCCTCCCCTCCTCCTCCTCCTCTCCTCCTCCTCCTCCTCCTCCTCCTCCCCTCCTCCCTCCCTCCTTCTCCATTCCTTCTCCTTATAAATAACTCCTCCCTGTCGTTCCCCGAGGCCAGTTTTCAGACCGGGCCAGGCGTTTCGCCTCAGACTTCCTCACCACTTATGGCCCTGAAGCTCAACAAGTGACAACCGTTTCATCGATGGAGGGCGGGTCGTTTTCAAAATGTGGCTCTCGCCTTCGCGCCGCGCACATTCGTTTTCAACAGTTGCAAGAGTTTCACGGATTGAGGGCGGGTCGTTTTCAATATGTGGCTCTCGCTTTAGCGCCGCGCACATTCTTTGTAAAACATTGCAAGGATTTCACGGATTGAGGGCGGGTGCTTTTCAAACTGTGGCTCTCGCCTTCGCGCCGCGCACATTCGTTTTTAAAATCACAAGAGCTTGACGGATTCCCATGGCCAACGTGCCAAAAATGGTGTTTTGGAGGGATTCAGGATTGTGCGGGCGCAACAGTTCTGTTGATTCGCGGTGTTGAAATAAACAATGACGTTATGGCACGATTCTGGATCGCCAAAACGCAGCAGCCAAGATGATACGTGGCGTTGAAATCCCGAGAACAATGTTTTGGCATGCTTCAGGATCTTCAAACGGGTGTCTTCCAACGAGGTAGGTCCCTCTGTGGAAAGGAACCGTTGTAGGGGCCTATGAAGAGGGAGCTTGGAGGGAGGGTTAATTCCAACATCGTTGATGACTCTTGGGTTTACACTGGTCCTCCTCCTCCTCCTCCTCCCTCCTCCTCGTCCCTCCTCCTCCTCCTCCTCCTCCTCCTCGTCCCTCCTTCTCCTCCTCCTCCGCCTCCTCCTCCTCCCTCCTCCTCCTCCTCCTCCTCCTCCTCCTCGTCCTCCTCCTGCTCTTCCTCCTCCTACTCATCCGCCTCCCTCCCTCCCTCCTTCCCTGCCTCCCTCCCTCGTCCTCCTCCTCCGCCTCCTCCGCCTCCTCCCCCTCTTCTTCCTCCTCTTTCTCCTCCCTCCTCCTCCTCCTCCTCACCCTTCTCCTTCACCTCCTTCTCCTTTCCCCGAACATTTGCCGAGAGTGTTCGGCCCCCTCCACGCCTTGTTTTTTTCGCACATGGTGTTGGCGAGTTGTATGTCGTCTGCGCTTTTTCCGATCTGGTCGTTTCTGGTCCTTCAAGGTGGTGCTTGCTGCAGCGCTGGCTTCGTTTCGGTGCTCCTCATCTTTCAACATGTTGCTCCCGCTGCAGCGCTGGTCTCAGCTCTTTGTTTTCGGTCCTTCTGGATGGTGTTTCCGCTGCAGCTTTAGCCTCGCTTTCGCTCTCTCGGTCCTTCCGAGTGGTGCTCCCGCTTCAGCACGGGCCTCATCTCCCAGTGTCGGTCCTCCAGCTGGTTTTCTAGCTGCACCTGTCATGCAGCTATGGTATGCCAGTCAATGCTATGCTATATACTGCTACGACGCGATTCCATACCTTGGCTCTGCAATGCTGTGGTATGCAACACTGGGCTACGCAGTGATGTGCCTTGTAATGGCATGCCACACAATGCTATGTTATGTACTGCTATGCGATGTCATGCCTTGCGCTGCAATGCTACGACATGTAATGCTTGGCAACGCAATGCTGTGCCATGCTATGCATCACGCACCCTTTGGGGGTCGTTGTCGTTTCAAACACCCTACAGTGCTAATAGAGAGGGGCTCTACCCAATGGTAAGGGATGGGAGGAACGGGTCTGACGTCAGAATTGGCGCGAGCCCACCTAGCTTGTCAACCTCCTCCGCTCCCTCCTCTTCCTCGTCCTCCTCGCCCTCTTCTTCCTGCTCCTCCCTTCCCTCCCTCCGTCCTCCTCCTCCTCCTTCTGCCCCTCCTGTTAGAATCCCTTGTAGAAACCCCTTGTCCGCAGCCGGTTTGAGCTATCGAGCATAAGCAAAAAGACCTCCGCCTTCCCCCCGCGCGCCCGCGTAGCGAGCCGTGGTGAACACTACACGGACCTAGGATACATCCCCAACCCAAATAGGGCTCTGGGAAGACAGAAGCATTCCTAACCCAAGTAGGGCTCTGGGAAGAGAACAGCATCCCCGACGCAAGTAGGGCTCTCGGAAGGTAGGAGCAATGGCAGCAGTGATTGACACGAAGCTGTTAGGACGAGGTCTCAAACATTTTCAAAGATTTTCCTGGAGATGAGGGTGAATGCAGCGATTGGTGTTATCGTTTCGAATCGTATTGTTGAGCTGCGAGCCAAGTAATGCAGCAGATCATGGAACGAGCACGAGAACAGGATAATCCCATTGCATTAGCAGCCACAGAAGACGCTGTAAAGCAACACTCTGCGAATCTAGCCTACATTCTAAAGAACGTAGTGTTTGGATAGATGACGAAAGTGTTTAGGAAGGTAGAGAAAGGGAAAAGTCTCGAGATGCGGCGGAGGATGTGCATTAGGTCTGAGCACAAAGACGAACATACGAAAGAGGAGTTCTGAATGCGATCATGGATTTCAGTTTCTCTGGCGTTTCCCTCCCAGAGGTTCTTGAGCGCCTAGAGGAGATGGAGTTGCTAATCAAAGAATGCGATGACTCAGCTAGCCCAGACGATCTAGCAGATGATGTGATAGTTAGTGTGGTTCTGAAGACGATCCCAGAACCCATGAAGACACATTTCGATTTGAACAGTCATTTGTGTGAGACCTACGAATAGCTCAAACGAGATATACACAAATATGTCGGAACCAAACGTGTTTGGAAGAATCCGTATGGGAGAAAGGAGGACGGTCCGAAGCCTATGGAAGTAGATGCATTGAGGGGTTCCCCGAAATGTACCCCGCAAGGTTTTCCGAAAGGGTCCCCCAAAGGTGACCAGAGGGGCTCTCCCAAAGGATCCCCCAAGGGCACCCCCAAAGGCATTCCGAAAGGATTTTTCCAAGGAGCTGGGTTTGGCCGTGGATACCCATCATCCCTTTGGCAGGGACAGGGTTACTCCACTCAGGCCACGGGCTGGTACCAGAACGACCAGAAAAGGTAAAGGCAGAGACCGAACGAGCACTGGAGGCAAAGGTAGGGACCAGTCGAGCACTGGAGGCAAAACTGGTTGGAGTCAGAACGCAAACAAGTGGTATGATATCTGCTGGACGAAAAATCATTGGACGTCAGAGTGTAGATTCAACAGTAAAGGGAAACGTCGATCAGGGAAAGGAAACCATTCCAACGAACATACCTGGGATCAGGACTTTTGGGGTCCCGGGTGGTCTTGAGACGAGCAGGGAGATTGGAAACCGGGTGGACGCGAGCAGCCATATCAGCACGACCAATACTCCCCAGAGGAGTTCGCGGCTCTGCTTCCTGACAGCAGCTCTCCGGACGAAAGCGACTGCGAGTCGAGTGATCCGAACGAGGGTCTCCCATGTGAGTCAGCTGCGCCAGCCGAGAGCGATCCGGGGGCAGAGTCACAGGTAGACAATGCACTTGCTTTTGAGTATGGTGCTGCGGATTCGTCGAGCGACGCTGGCAGCGAGAGCAGTGCAACCAGTGAGCACGCTTTCTGTGTGGACGTGGGCTCTCAAACGGATCCTGTGGCCGGCCATTGCGAAGATTTCCGCGACTGTCCTGAATGGTTTGCGATGGCGGATTCAGATGACGAGGGCGATGAACCCATTAGCACTCTTCGCAAAATCGCCGAGAGCTTTCCAGGGACTACGCTATACATGATGACGATGGTGGTGATGATGTGTGTTGTGTCATTCGGTGCATACATGTGGTCTGAAATCAAAAGTGCGTTGGCCCATCGCCGCGCTGATCATCGTACAAGCTATTTTAATATGCATTGTGATCGAACTTGGAAAAGGTGAGCACGGCATCAAGTCGTTTTTGGAGGGCGTCCACCAGGGACAGAACAGCGTCGCGTCCACCGGCAACTACACGCAGAGAGACTACCATATCCTGTTAGATTCTGAAGCGTTTGATCATGTATGCAATGAGTCTTTCGCGAAACACATGCCTGTCGTAAAACCAGCTGGCGAAGGCCTCCAGAGATCCAATGACACGGATTGGACATAAATACGTATCAATGCAATTGGTCGACCACAACGGCGCGACAGTAGTTTTTGTCATACGTTTCAGTATTTTCAGAGAAGCAAGCACCACAATCATCAGTATCAGCAGGCTCACGAAACAGAAACACATCACTTGCATGTTTGACGGCAGCATTTGCGTGATGAAAGGGTCCACGTATCCCCAAACCGTTTTCCGCGAAGGAACACAGTTTTCGGTATCGTATAAAGTGTAAGTCTGCTGTTCAAGAACAAATCATGCCAATCTTCCGTCGCCAGTCGTTGCAATCAGCTGTTTTCCGGCCTCTCGACGAACCGCCAGGATAGTTGAGAACGCACCTTCCCGCGAAACTGAACAAAGAAATTTGGAATACCACCTCTGAGGGCGATTCTTATGTGGTGACTCCAGAAGCAGAGAAATACAGAGTGC